CGATCCAGTACCTTGGCTGTCAAGATCACCAGACCTAACACTACTTGGTTTATTTTTATAGGGCCTCATGATGACGAAAGTACAAATGAAAGTGGAACTCTTGTGTCAAATCATGATGCTGCTGCTTACTTATGAAAGCATCCTGAAATGATGCACCAGACAGTAAACTCTTGTTTGGAACGAGCAAGGCTGTGTATTGAAAACCGTGGCAGACATTCTGAACACTTTGACTTAAGCTCACAAAGCATACCAATAAGTTTATCTGATTAGCACTCATTTACATTCTCATGTGTGCACTTAAGACGTTCATTGCTCATAAGCTATTAGAAATAGAACCAGTGCTATAGTAACATTTATTATTCGACATCACCTCCCTAAGTACACCACACTGATTGTGAAAACCTCTGTAGGATATAATTTATTTACATTCCATACAACCTTCATACGCCTAAACCAAGGATGTACATGTCGTAATACAAATATAATACTGTACAAAGTTCCAACGTTAGACATATTATCCTGGGCAAAATACTTTACACCGGACTAATTACAATTTACAATAACTGTTACCTCCTTAAATGAATGTGGTACTGGATGTAATAAATGCAGTTGCTGAAGATTACACTGAATTAGACTAGAAATATCTGCCTGTTCCATTATACCAAATGTATATAAAATCAGTGTGAAGACGGTTAAATAACTGAGTTACCCACAATTATAACACGCAACGAATTTTAACAGCCACTACTACCGCTACGCTGTAATTTGCGCGCCATGTAGAACAATCACGGAAGACGGTATGAGATATAAATCGAGACACGGAGTATTAAGTGATGGGCTTTGAAGTGCATTCTGTAGCTTCTGTAGTTCTGTAGTGACGACCATGAATATTTGATTATTATGAATTACCCCGTGACAAAGCACATATGAATTTAACATAGATTGAACAGATTAATTTGAGATAGACCTAAACTTCTCTTAACAAACGTACAATATTCATTTATACAATTTCTTCTTAATCAAAATACTAGTACTATATATCCACAACTTCCGTCTACAAATATAATGACGTGCAGGAAAAGTACTGAGTTTATACACTAGTGCGCTTCAGTTGTACGTTGAATGTACGAAGCACGAAAATTCCATAATCTTCCTTGAACACACAAAAGAGGAAGATAAATTCCTCGAAGTTCGCGACAGCAAAATGTGATGGGGAAGCTGGAGAACGGAGAACAAGTCACACATTTGTTCTTGTAGTATGGGTCGAAGGAGGCCATGCGGTGACCCTGACGCATCTGTTGTCACTGACGCTAAAAGAAAAAAAAGTACGAAGATGGTGCGTGTTAGTGTAATTGAGACATGCTTGTAATTATTTTCAGAGAGACGCTTATAATTATACGCTGAACTGCGAAGAAATAAAACAGTTGCGGCATTAACGTCACTGTCCGAATGCTTCAACAATAATGGGAGCTAGACATTTTCAGAGAGATGGAGAAAGTGACAGGAATTGAGTAAATACTTTCTTCTACTTGACGTTTAATAGAAACATTTGAAAGAAGCAAGGAATTCTACAATGTCAGAATCTTATGGTACGTTTGCTCTACAGTGTGTATCAGTACATGAGTACACTTCATGTATTATAAGCAATATATGTCTTGTGTCTAATATTTTCAGATTTTTTATTCAAGTTTTTGGTTATTGGGAATGCAGGATCAGGAAAGTCATGCCTGTTACATCAATTTATTGAAAGCAAGTGTAAGTATATGTCGCTGTAGGAACAAATTTAGTGTAAAGTTAATTTTCTACTGAAAGCTGTACATAATTTTCAGTATAATATATGCATTTCATTTGTACAGTTAAAGATGAGAGCAGTCATACAATTGGAGTTGAATTTGGCTCTAAAATAGTAAATGTTGGAGGCAAATCTGTAAAGCTTCAAATTTGGGATACTGCAGGACAAGAAAGATTCAGGTATGATTTAAGATGTTTTTAGTATTGTTTATATTTAAAGCTTCAGCTAGCTTGGAGTTCTTGTGCTTGTTAGTAAATTTACATAGTATTTGTATAACTGTCCATTACATTTAAACATGTAGGACTGCTGTATACAATGAAAGGAACAAGGAGGGTGAAATGTGGTGTGCTGATGATATTTTATTGTTTAAGGTCAGTAACTCGTAGCTACTACAGGGGGGCAGCAGGTGCCCTTTTGGTATATGATATTACCAACAGGGAAAGTTTCAGCGCCCTTGCAAATTGGCTGTCTGATGCACGTACACTGGCTAGCCCAAACATTGTCATTCTCTTGGTAGGCAACAAGAAGGATCTGGATGGTGAAAGAGAAGTTACATTCCTTGAGGCAAGCCGATTTGCACAGGAAAACGGTTAGACTTCTGTTTGAATAATCATTCTTTTCACCATATCATTTATGTGATTTTTTCGTATGTTTGTCAGATATGATCCTTAAGTTATGCTTCATTATTTCCATACACATACTGTCAGATAGAAATTCTATATTTATTAACCAAAATTAAGTTTCCATATTTAGTTTTCTCTGCACACAGTGGTCATTAAATTATTAGTGCACATTTTTTTCACGTTAATGTTGAATAATTTTATCTACTGGGATATAATGCCATGTAGCACAATAAAAGTTAGTTGATGTTTTAGAGGAATGTATTGCTCATTGTTCAAGATCAAAGCTAGCTCTGCATGCTGCCTTCTTGTGGACTTATTCTTCAACCAACCCTGAACATGAAGGCAATCTGTTCCTCTAAAGTGCAAGTTGACTTTTGCTGGGCAGTAAAGGGTTACACCTCAAAAGATTTATATTCTCTGCTGTGAGGACCTTAAATACAACACATTTCATATTGATTTTAATTAGGTATGTCCAAGAAACCATTTACAAAACTAAGCCTATCTTATGTGTCAGAAATTCTTGTGTTTATATAGCATTTCTTGTGGGAAAGTGCTTTTATTGAAATGGCAGTATACATTGACGTTATCTGCTTGAGAGAAAAAGTAGGTATAAATATTTCACATGAATTACATAAAGGCTTTATCATATGTTAATGAAATAATCTTCCATTTGGAAGGAAACTGTTTGAACAAACATTCTTTGAAAGTCACTACCAAATTAATGTTGCAGGTTTCAGTCATGTTCATGGCTTAAGAATATGTTGTACCCTGTTAAGATACTCTACAGCACTCTGTACTCTATGCATTGCTGTATAGTAGAAACGCTTCACCTAGTATTAATTGTATATATTGTAATTGTTTCATAACATTCTGTTCCAGAGCTGATGTTTCTAGAAACAAGTGCGAAGATGGGTGAAAATGTAGAAGAGGCTTTTCTCAAGTGCTCGAAAACAATCCTGGCAAAAATTGAAACTGGTATGTGTTTTGGAAGTAATAATATTAATTTGTTTCCATTTTGTACTTGAAACATATTTTAAATCCAAATATCAGATGAACATCTTTCACAATTTGTGTTTGCAGTCTGGAAAGTTTATTATGAATATTACAGACTTTTTCACATCATGCATCCTGTTGTGTTATAATATACAACTTCTTTATTAAAACTGTCACAACACAACTATATCAAGGTCAATGCCTAGTTTTGGCTGTTAATAGCCATCATCAGGCAAATACATGGCTAATATATATATACATCTTACATCACCAAATCAGTCATTGTTTACATTCCCTACAGAACAGACAGTACTTTTAAGATGAGGCACCGACTAAATAATTAACATTAATATTACTACATCTACATCACGAGTCTCCAATAACAGTTTTTTATATACACACAAAATATAGAGAATACTCCATTCTGTCCATGGGAAAGCAACAAAATCACAAAAACTAATGACTGACTCGATGTAAAGCATCAATCGAAGAATTTTATTCTTGTTTTATACTATAACTTTTATTTTATATAATTTATTGCATTTTTACATCAAGTATTTTATATAATTAATATTATTGTATCCAATTTTACTAGTACTGCAGTTAAGTGG